CACTCCAAACATTTTTCAAAGTTATTTCATTTGCAAATATATCTTAGGGCATATCACAAAAGAAAGTGATATACCAAATCATATCATACATGCAGCAAAATGAAAAAAAAAAAAAAATCTGTATTTTCTGACCTATTTATTTGTCTACGTAAAAGATGTTAGGCTACCTTCCCAGTCTGAAAGCTCGTCAGATGAAGCTTGCACAGTTCTAACAAAACTCTGTAGCACAGGTAACCCTGCCATCCGTGGGAAAAGCATGTTGAGGGCAGTCCACAGACAAACAGATCCAACACAGACCCAAGATGGGTTAACAGACTTGTACACAGAGAGCTTAGAATGCCTACAACCTTTTGGGAGTTTTCCCTCAGAGCTCCACACAGTATAAAGCATTAATATATGAACTGCTGTGTTTTACAGAGGAGAAATTACTCCATTTATTAACTGACTGAATTCCGTGAGGCTGCAGAATGGCAGCTGCAAAGAAGAACCCACGAGTCTACAAGGAAACCAGAACACATCTACCCTCCCTGAATGTCATGTCAGCCCTCAAATTTTACTTTTCATAGCCACAGTCATACTTATTGCTGCACATTTTCAGGAAAAATACATAATCGAGATGATAGTTTATTAAACAGCCAAACAACTGAGCACGCAGAGCCACAATCAACTATTTCTCACCTTCTGAATCATTCAGATGGACTATTGACAAGCTGGCAGTACTGATTTTAAGCATTTTACCATTGCTTGTAAGGTTTCTGTTTATTGCTGTTTGTCAGATTTCTTACAGCACTAAGTGAAATTTCCCAAATATATGCCAAATTTGGAGATCTGTTACTTAGAGAGATTCATGTGGAGATCCACTCTGTTGCCACTAAGAAATAGGATTAGTCGCATGGAACTAATGAAAAATAGTTTGAAAATAATTTTTTACCAAAGGAAGCAAAGGGACTTTGATTTGCATTTTCTTAAAGGGCAGCTAACTGCAATCATCTCTTCCTCCTGAGAACAGCTTGGCAGAAAAAGTACAGAACCTTTTTGTGGCAAGATTTTGCCATTAAAATAGTCCAGCTCCAGTGAAGGTGATTGAATCTGCTAAAATAATCACACTTTGCCAATGACACTGATTTTATTCACACTGGCATAGAAAAGATTAAAAAAAATCCCAAACCACTAAACCAACAAAAAACCTGAGTTCTAAATGGCTGAGAACTATCACAGGAACATAATATTTGTACGCTGCTGGGCAGTGGTAATTCTGCAGTGCGTACCTCACCCTGCGGATTATCCCTACCCTCCTCCTCTTTGCCCTTGTGCCTTCAGCACCTTCCGACTATCCTCAGCTAAGATTTATTTCGCTTCTAAAATATGAGCTGTTTGGTCTTCATAGAAGTGCAAAATTAGCACAGGCATAAGCTGAACACAAGCGTGTGCCAGACAGCTTTGCTAATGCACCTTGACTGACTCGGCGAGCCCTGTATTTCAGCTATCCTCTTGAGCTCCAGACAGCCCTTTTCCATCCAATCCTTTTCTTAATTTGTTTTGCCAAGTGCCAAGTGTATGCTCAGCTGGGTATCAGACACAAAACCAGGCATCCTCTGCCACAAGGAGTCTGCAACTAAACAGGGAATACACAATACCTTAAGTGGCCTGGAGGACGTTTCTGAGAGAGCAGATTAGCGAAATTTATCAGCGAAATGTTTTAAAAGAAAGCTTTCAACGGAGAAGATTGTGGCCTGGCTCACGGAGATAGGGATGGAGAGATCCCATGTGAAGAGCAGCATGAGACGTGTAACAAAGACACAAAGGCAGGATGCGAACCAAGCAGCGAATTGAATTGTCAGCAGTTCAAGAGAGGTGAACAGCAAGAACTGAGAGCAAAGACACTGGCAGGGGCCTAAAGGTTAGGGAGAAAAGCTTTTACACGGAAGAGGAAAAGAAAGGAAGAGATTCAAAGAAGGAATATCGTGGCCACAAAAGCCAACTTACATGCTGATTTCACGCTATCAACAAATTAGAACTAGCTGCTTGCCATTCTGCATCAGTCCATTTAACCTCACGCTTTGCTTTCAACTCCAGCCAATACCTGATGCTGCAGAGAAGCAAATTCTTCCCTACATAACAGTGCTAGTCAAAGGTGCTGTGTTTTATGCAGCAAAAATATTTTAGTTCTTTGTGCACCAGAGCAAGAGATTTAATTACCCTTAAATTTATGGATTTACAAGTATTATATCCCACATCAATTACCATCCTTTTAGGAAAGAATAAATTACCTGCTTTTCAGCAAGTGCTGCCACCGCATTAGTACAAACAAACATCAGTATTTCAAGATTAAATGTATTTTTTAGACTTGAGTGGAAATAGTATTTCTTCATGGCTGGCACTTCCACCCCCTTCATCACCCGTAAGTGTTTTTTAACAGCTCCACAGAAAGCTCTCTCCACTTTCTTTGAAAAACGGACAACGAATACACTTCAGAAAGTCTAATTTCAATTAAGGTTTTGAAAAGTTATCTGACAAGGCTAGTATAATTTTGACATACCATCAAGCATAGTGGTATTGCTGTGGTCTGTCAACTCAATGCTTTTGAAAGTCGGTAAGGTCTTCAGCGAATGATTGGACACAGCTGAAAGAAAAGTTAAACTTTTAAGAATAAAAAAGGCATATGTTCACCCAGCAAGATGGTTCACTGTTAAACAGAGAGCCTCATGCATGCCCTAGGTTTTAGAGACACTTATTTTTAAAAAATGGCATGCCAAGAAGAGCCTGAGACTTACTATAAGAGAATGACTCTATACCTTCTGCACTGACTATCAGACTCGCAGTGTTTGTGTTTGCTTCCAAGACTGTATGGTCAGAGGCTGCCAAAAAGAAATAAAAAAAGAAATTGAATGAAGTATTTTAATTCCGCATATTCTGTCATCCCAAATTTTTTTCAGACAAGTAATCTAACCGTAGGATGCTACGTGCGTACTTCTGAATTGCGCCATCTGGCCTTTACCACACCTGAGGGAGTTCAGAACGCCAATCACGAACACAACAACTTAGCAGGAGCAAAAGACAACTCAACATTTAATCAACTGTCAGGTTAGAATGAACTTTTTTTTTTTTTTTCAATGAGCAATTTCAGTTGTCTGTAAATATTCTTCCAAGGTATCTCATGGAGGAATCTATTTAGAACCAATAAACGAGAATAAATCCCTTCCAAATAAAAGGCTTCATGAGTAACAAGACTCATGTACTACTTCTCATTATGACACCATACACAAAGACACTATATGCAGATTTTTAAGTCCCTGACAACTAGTTCGCCTATCTCTCAGCAATTATTCCCCAGAAAGCTCAAGAAATAATTTTCACTAATTTATCCATAGTACTTACAGCTTTGTAATAAGTCCTGTATGCTCTCCGAGGTAGCAGCAGCTTTCGTTTCGAGACAGTGTGCAAAGCTGCTTAACGCTTTGCTACGGACCACGGGTGCTTTGTCTGAACACCGGCCAAACACCATGACCTGTACCAAAAACTTATGCTTTAGAAACTTCTGATGATCCGGGGGCAAGGAGCTGTCCAAGTTCCTCTCGGGCACATCCAACAAAGCTAACGCTACATCAAGAGCAAACACTCTGTAGGCAATCTGTTTGGAAGAGAAATCACACAAGGTGCTCTGTTAGTGTCAGCAAAGACAGAGGCACTGCCTACTCTGTTTACCCGTTTTTAGGTACCAGCAATAGCAACAATGCCATTCAGTGCTGATATCGAACCCCTCGTCTTCAAAATACTGCTGTATCTGAACCCTGGCACACCAAGGAGATGTACTTACTTTAGCGTTGCGGGAGTATTTATAAAGCCAAGCGATGAAGTCAGCAAACTCTATACAAGGAAGTTTATCCAGCAAATTCACCAAGGCCTGTGCAGCATACATGCGATAATCAGCCTTATCTGGGACCTGAAACACAAGGGCAATCGCGTGGGATGACATTTCGATGCACTGCTCCAGAAGCCAGAACGGCATTTCAGGGCTGAGGATAAGTATTTCTTAATTTAATGAGGCGACAGGGTCACATTCAGCAAGGACTGGGAGAGCAATCACAGCTTCCTTGCTCACTGCTTCTGCCCTCACTCACGATCCCACAGCAAATTCCCCAAGGAAAAGGTGAAGCTTAGATTAAATCCAGAGGCAGTATTTCTACACGGCAGCCTTCGGATAGTTAGCTAGGCAAAGAGCTCTCATAATCCTCATTTTCCTCTACCAAAACAGTAGTAAAAGCAACTTCAAATTTTGGAAAAGTCAAAAGTGGAGTATAATCAATTGTGAATGAGGGGGGAAGTGTTCACCCGCAGTATTCTCCTAGAGAGTGACACTATTTTTAAGGTGTCTGAAAACTCTGATAAAGATCAATACAAAAAGTGATCAGGCTGTCAAGAAATTTGCAAATGATTAAAATATTTTAATTCCTCACAAAATATTGTGAAAATAGATTTTCTAACTATTATAGATACTGCAGTGTACCCATACATGAGTTCTTCAGCTTAAGATGCCACAAAGCTTAGCGTACCTTGGTACAGATATGCTGCAGTAATATTCGAAGAACAGGAAAAACAACTTCTTTCAGCTCATCTACTACGGAACTGCAGAGAAGAAAAAAAAAGAAGCAAATTTTAAGGAGGCTGGTTTTATAACAGAGTATAAATCAAGTCAAGGACATTCCTTTTGGAATGCGTTTCAAAAGTCCAGAAAAGTGCGTGTTCTGGAATCACGAGCGCTAGTGCAACAGAATATGGTCAGAGCAAACCCAGTGACTGTCTACATTAACCTGGCTCTGCAGGCAGAAAACATTTCTTCCAACACCTTTCTACAAGTAGAAGAACAATATGAAAAGCTTCTTCATTCTCAATCTACTTACTATAGGCTGTCTGGGGATCTCTGCACAAACCACACTTTCCAACAACACGGATCCCCACACTCCAGGAATAATGAGCATAGGCAAAACATATCTTTAAGCAGGAGAAGGCAAAGAACTAAGGAGAGATGAGCTCCACACTAACCTTTTATCTTCTTTACAATATTTTGTAGTAAACTAGAAAACCTGAAAAACTGACGCACAGCAAAACACAGAAGGCAGGTCCCTTCCACTTACTGCCACTTTTCGTTCAAACAGAACCTTCCCTCCTCTCCACCAGCAAGTTCAGTAAATTCCCATTATAGACGTTTTAATTAAACCTCATTTGCACAAACAGCTTCAAAGTCAGTGCCAGTTTGTCTCATCCCTTTATCAACTAAGCAGTGAAGCAAAGGCACGCCAGAAGATCAGGCGGACCTATGCAGGAAGGGTAGTGCCAAGAGCTCTGTACTTCACCTGATGAATTTTATAGCCTGATTCCTGGCGCTGATCACAGCTGACGTGATTGGAAGGACTGCACGTCTGGAACCCGCACCACTTTCCAGCATAAGAATGACATTGAGGATTCGCTGGAAGACACAACGAAGAATCTGGAAAGAGAAGGTTGTTTTCAGGTTTGTTTCAGTAGCAACTGAAGCCCATGGATAAGGATTCTGACCAGGTTCATGAAATAATTCTGAACCAAACAAACCTGGATCCAAATAACAGCGCCTGTCAAGATATGACTCCTAGCAGAATAATTCAAAGAGGACCCATTAATACACACAACATCCTTCCAAGCTGTGATGTTCTCATACAAGTCCAGAAAGCCCTAGGAAGGGCTTCCTGACAACATTGACAGATTCCCTTCAAAGCAGTGAACTTCAATTCACCAGAAATGTCTGGGATTCGAGGAAATTCATTGGTTTTTGCATAGAAGTCATCTTAAACCAAATGCATGTTTTTACCACCATGTGCACTTGAACATTTGGAGCCTCCTCCCCGCCGCACTTCTAGGATCACAGCATGCCTCGTTGTCCTGATATTCACTGAGCAGTCAAACAGGAGAGCCAGGGAAGATGAGGTGAGTCCCAGAAGGGGAACTGCTACATCTCCCTGATACCACAAATGTCAACAATTCTGGAAAGCCTGTGCTGCACTGAGAAACCAAGGACGTTGAAACACAGAGGTCTAGGGCTGCCAAAGCTGGGCAGACAGTCTGTGTCAGGTTAGTGTGTACTTAGCTCCAGGCTTTCCTGACTAGACAGCTGCTAATACCCTGGCTTGTGAGCTCAGAAATAGTTCAGATGGGTTCACAGGGACTCACAAGCACAGCAGCACGGTTGTGACCAAAGTTCAAAAGCCCCATCCATAAAAGCAGCACGCACACACAAGTGGGAGATGACGCAGCACGCTCGACAATTCAGCAAAATAAAAATGTAAAGCTGCAGACACATTTCTGGTAGAACTGGATGTTCCATGATGACAGACTATTCTCTGAATAAGAATCAATCCTGCTTACCCTCGCCTGCACATAACACTGCCCATCATGCTTCGCTGCTGCAACCCAATGCCACAGCACCCTACCAAGCAGTGCTGGAGCTCCACCTAGCAGGAAACAAGAAAATTCCAGGCAAACACAGTAACCTGGAATTCTCTTTTTGTAAGATAGAGAGATCTAATGCCACTGTAGCTATCCTCTGGTTTTGATTCATTTGCCACAAGAGTCACTAGAGCACAGAATTCAATGCACACAAAACACATCATCGTGCAAGTCAAAGGAAACAAGGACTGGGGTGGAAAAAAGTATTTTTTCATTAATGTTTATAAATATGTAAAGGGTGACTGTCATGAGGATGGAGCCAGGCTCTTCTCAGTGGCATCCAATGATAGGACAAGGGGAAATGGATATAAGCTGGAACACAGGAGGTTCTGCTTAAACATGAGGAAGAACTTCTTCCCAGTAAGGGTAACAGAACACTGGAACAGGCTGCCCAGAGAGGCTGTGGAGTCTCCTTCTCTGGAGATGTTCAAAACCCACCTGGACGCATTCTCCTGTGATCTGATCTAGGTGGTCCTGCTCTGGCAGGGGGATTGGACTAGATGATCCTTTGAGGTCCCTTCCAATCCCTGACATTCTGTGATAAAAGCATCTTGCCTCTGACCCAACACACACACGCACAAAAAGTAAACTTAATTTGAAAAGTAAAAAAGTGCAAGCAAAAATGATACGTGGAGAATGAAAGAAACAACTACTCCTTTTCAATATTGCAGTGAGGATTTTAAAGATTTTGTCCAACTCTTACCTTATCTTCTGCACCATGTAGAGGGGAACACAATAATCGCAGTCCACGATAGGCCAGCTCGGGAACATACTTGGCTTCGTTAACATTCCTGAAGCAAAAGAAGGCAAAGAGATGCCTTCATCTCTCATAAGAGAAATATTTACTACAACTATCACAACTAAAGATGCTCATGGACTGAAAAATATTCAATATTTACTAAATGTTGTTTACTGTTAGCTAGGTGGAACACAGTCTAATTATCTTTAGTGAAAGAAATCACCGCTTTCATTTTTGTATGAACAGGATGATACCACCACAAGCATTGAGCACTTTGCTTGTTCAAAGCACCATATAAAAATTGAGAATTGTTTGCTCACATTGCTGCTGAAAACTCAAACTCATGTACTGCTGGCTCGAAGTTTGTCATTCCAACAAAGATCTGCAAGGAAAGAACGCCACGCTTAGATAATTCACACAAGGGGAAGAGGTGCAGGTCTGCTTGGAGGTCAGACAATAAAGAACGCGAGTCTAACTTTTGAACTACAGTGCCTCCCTTGAAGCAGAAGATAAGCAGACCCCAAAGCCCAGAGGTTCAGCACCAGGTGTCTTACCCCCAGGCACCATGAGGGTTAAGCACCTCAGAATAAAACACGAATTGCCTGGCTGGCACTGGCCAGCAAGTGCTAAGCATAACTGACATGGAGCAGGCACCCTGCTCCAAGATTTACACCAAGGACAGTCTAATCAGGGGACCAGTTTATGAAAGGCAGAGCTGTCACCATTCCCATGGCTATGGAGTGCTCTGCATCCTCAAAAGGTTTGTGTCAGGGGACATAAGGTTCCTCGAGTTGATTTATAAAATATATATACCTGCAGGCAGTTCTGCACACATTGAGGTTTATCTTTGAGGGAGAACTTTGGTAGAAGTCTTAGGAAGTTTTTCAACAGAAGGAAGATCGAGTTGCGAACTTGAAGAAGATCATCCGTTGAAAAGTAAACATTTTCACAATCCTCTTCCTCCTCCTCCTCCTCCTCCTCTTCCAGTATCTCTTCCATCTATATTGGTAGAAAAGATGAAGAGCACCATCCTGTCCCACAATTCTAAATCTTTGCTTTCAGATTAATTAATGCACTTAACAGTGGTAAAAAACCCAAACAACAAACAGAAAGAGGAAAGCTGGGTACAAAAAAAAGAAAGCTCCAACACAGCCTATTCTCGTTTTGAAGGAGAAAGTCCATCAGAACTGAAGTTACCTGAATTCTAATCTGACACTTGCAGAATCATCCCAAGTAATTCCCATTGTGCCTATGACCTTCTTCCCTTGCTTGCCATGACCCTGCAGCACCAACGTTCTCTCAGAATTTCTGATGCGTAATCCTCAGTTCCGTTTAAAAAAAACCCCAACATATAAATGTTAGAACGAGCAGCTGAGTACAGCTAAGCAAAGCATTTATCCCTTAACTTCCCATCAGTAAGTTGGCAAGGAAACTCAAATGCCATTTGCAAGCTAGTCACATTCTAATGTGAAGGTTTTTTGAAGAAGCTGATATAAATTAGTTTCTCCCTCTGCTACTGAGCTTTCTAACAATATGTCCCAGACAAAAAAGCTGCATTTTTTCTATTAGTCAGCAGCCACGAAACTGCAGCTAATGTTGAATCATCAGACCTCTGAAATTCCTAATAATAGAGGATCAAGAGCAGAGTGGAACTGTTGAATGAACGGTTAAGAATTTTAAAAGGGGTGAAAAAGAGCAAAGTATCACACTGACCTAGAAGTGAAACAGCCTGCCAACAATTTGCTTATTAATAGAGATCTATATCTGAAGAGATTACCCAAACACCTTACATTGCCACTCCTGCACGGTTTTCCTTTCTTTTTGTTTCTTCTTGCACTGGTCTGAGAGCTTTGAGCATGCATCTTCTTTCTTTTCCTCATGAGATCTGGTTCTTGAGGCCAACATTTTGTCAGAGCATGAAGACATGTATCAAACACCACTTGATGGAACAGCTGGTTAGCTATGCTGCCTGCCCAGAAAAGACAACATCAGTCACCTTACAGATAAAGTACGGAGAGAGCATCAAATCGTCTGGCCACCTCTCCATTTGCTCTGGCAGCCAAATAGATGGCCAGGACAAAGGCATTGTCCTGGGAGCCTTCAAGAGAAGAAAAAAGAATTGCTTGAACAAAGTCAAACTGTATCCATATGACATGTCATCAGCCACGACGTTCTCCAGCAGGTTCACCAGCTGATTGACTCCTCCTAGCTGGTCACGTGCTGCACAACAAAGATCAGCAAAACTTTAGAGAATGTATTAGCCTTGAATACCAAAGGATACCGCTGTGAATCAACCTGCTAGAAAAGATACCTTTATTTTCACAAACAAACCGGTCCAAAAGCACTGCACAGCGAAATCCTCTCCAGTTACAGAGCAGGAAGAGGAATAAGCTTCTGCCTTCACTCTGTATTTTTGTCAAACCAGAGGGACGCGTGTGATTTCTGCTCCCTGTACCGCTCCAACTCCTCCGTTGACCTTGTCACAGAACTACTAAGACGACGCATGGCAGTGCAGACCCCGC